TATATATATATAAACATTTTCTTTTACTATTTCCAGAACTGCAGTGACTCCTGAGGAGTGGGAGAGCCTCTGCATCTTAAACATTAGCAAAGCCGAGAAGGAGAAGAACAACTCTCTTTCTCTGAGAGCTCTTGTGGACAGCCTGCTCGAGCAGACGACTGCAGACATGCGCAGACAGTACGAGGCCACGGGAAGGGCTTTTGAGCTCCGCATAGAGGAGACCAAAACTGCCAAAACACAGCTTGAGAACCAGCTCAATGAGGTCAGTTGCACGTGTAGTATAAAATCATTTCTACTAGTGAATTAAGGCACAGCAACATTATAATATATATTATGAAAAATATATTTATTTTGAGATTTGTTAAAATTATAATTAACCATTTTATTAAATATTAAATATTTGTATCTATTTTATATTAAATATGATTTAATCTTTAAATATTGAAGATTAATTTTGAGTGAGTGTTAGGTCATGGCTAAATTAAAATAATTTAATAATATTTGACAATAATATAGCCTATTGTGCATCCTTAGTAACTAGCCATATAACACTCGGCAAAATTCAAAGTCAAAAATGTATATGTTTAGCATTTGAGTAATTAGGATCAATTTCAATTTAATCTTGTCTGTAACATCCCGGATCTTTTTATAGGGTTTCATTCTAGTTTTTTTAAGGTTATAATTTGACTAGTTTGGTATGTCTATGTACTCTCTTAAAGCTGCTAGCAGAGACAGCAAATCAGGAGAAAAATCTGGAGTCTCTACGTGTGGCAGTCGCAGAGAAAGAAGCTCCACTCAAAGTGGCTCAGACTCGACTGTCCTCTCGCAGCCAAAGGCCCAACGTTGAGCTCTGCCATGACCCGGCTCAAATCCGACTGCTGGAAGAGGTCAAGGAGCTCGCAAACCACATTGAGAGGTAAGGGAAAGGATGGATATATATATATACCTTTCGGTACGAGGGTTTCGGTTCAGTACGCATTACAAACCGAACGATTCGTTGTACTAATCCTATTACATTTGGAAAATAAAAGAGCTTAAAGTGTGTAAAATACAATGTTCTCAGTGCCACTGCGCTCAACAAGGCAGCCCAAACAACGTAACAGCCCCCAAAGAAAAACACACTGCTCCAGTCAGGCATAGGCTGGACTAGCTCGTTCTTTGCAATATGGCTAGTAACTAGGGCTGGACAATAATTCTATATCAATATATATG